GAAGCAGACTGAAATCATATCAAGATGTTTTCAGATCACAATGGCATGAAACGAGAAATCAATTGCAAAAAAATATGCAAAGACATTTCAACACATGGAGGCTAAATATCATGTTATTAAACAATAAATGGGTTACTGAGGAGATCAAGGAAGAAATTAAAAACTTGCTGGAAACTAATAAAAATGAACACACAACACCACAAAATCTATGGGATGCAGCGAAAGCAGTTCTGAGAGGAAAGTTCATAGCACTACAGGTCTACCTCAAGAAACAAGAAAAATTTCTAATTGACTGTCTAACCACACAACTTAAAAAACTAGAGAGCAAACAAAAAGAAAACCCCAGAGCAAGTAGAAGGAAGGAAATAGTAAAGATCAGAGCAGAAATAAATGACATAGAGACCAAAAAAACAATTCAAAGGATCAATGAAAGAAAGCGCTGGTTTTTCGAAAAGATAAACAAGATTGATGGACCCTTAGCTAGACTCACCAAGAAACAAGGAGAGAGAACCCAAATACATAAAATCAGAAATGAAAGAGAAGTAACAACTGACACCAGAGAAATACAAAATATTGTTAACAGGTGCTATGAACAACAAATTCGCCAATCTAAGCGAAATGGACAAATTTCTAGAAATACACAGTCTCCCAAAACTGATTCGAAAAGAGATAGAAAACTTGAACAGACCAATAACAACTAAGGAAATTAAGACTAATTAAGAGGTAATCAAGACTCTCTAAGCAAACAAAAGCCCAGGGAGAGATGGCTTCACGGGGGAGTTTTACCAAACATTCAAAAAAGAACTCACACCCATTCTCCTCAAACTGTTTCAAAAAATTTGAGAAATAACACTTCCAAACTCGTTTTATGAGGCCAGCATAATTCTAATTCCAAAACCAGAAACAGACACTACAGAGAAAGACAACTACAGGCCAATATCCCCAATGAACATAGACGACAAAACGCTGAACATAATATTAGGAAATTGGATTCAGCAATATATCAAAAAAATTATTCACCACAACCAAGTGGGACTCATCCCAGGGATGCAAGTCTGGAACATTATTTGCAAATCAATAAATGTGATACACCACATAAAAAAAAGGAGGGATAAAAATTATGTGATCATATCAATAGATGCTGAAAAAGCATTTGACAAAATCCAGCTCCCATTTCTGATAAAAGCACTCAGCAGTATGGGAATAGAGGGATCATATCTCGACATAATAAAGGCCATATATGAAAGACCTACAGCCAACATCATACTCAATGGGCAAAAACAAAAAACATTTCCATTAAGAACAGGAACAAGACAGGGATGTCCACTTTCGCCACTCTTATGTAACATTGTACTGGAAGTCTTAGCCACAGCAATCAGACAGGAAGAAAGAATAAAAGGGATCCAAATTGAAAAGGAGAAAGTAAAATTGTCATTATTTGCAGAGGACATGATATTATACATAGAAAACCCTAAAGACTCCATCAAAAATCTACTATACTTAATAAATGAATTTGGCAAAGTAGCAGGATACAAAATTAACGTCAAGAAATCGACGGCATTCTTATACACCAATAATGTACTCACTGATAGAGAAACTGAAAAAACCATCCCATTTACCATCGCGGCAAAAAAATTAAGATACCTAGAAATAAACTTAAGCAAAGAAGTAAAGGACCTATTTAGAGAAAACTACAGGACATTGAAAATAGAAATAGAGGAAGATATAAAAAAGTGGAAGCACATACCTTGTTCATGGATTACAAGAATTAACATCATTAAAATGTCCATATTACCCAAAGCAATCTATAAATTCAATACAATCCCCATAAAAATACTAACAACATATTTCACAGAACTAGAAAAAATACTTCAAAAGTTCATATGGAACCAAAAAAGACCTCGAATAGCCACAGCAATTTTGAAAAAGAAGGACAAAGTAGGTAGGATCACAATACCAGATATCAGGTTATACTACAAAGCGACTGTAACCAAAACAGCCTGGTACTGGCACAAGAACAGGCATATAGACCAGTGGAACAGAACAGAGAACCCAGAAATGGACCCAAGGCCATATGCTCAATTAATATTTGACAAAGGTGGCAAGAGCATACAGTGAGGTAAAGACAGCCTCTTTAATAAATGGTGGTGGGAAAATTAGATAAGTCTATGCAAAAAAATGAAACTAGACCATCAACTTACACCATACACAAAAATAAACTCAAAATGTATAAAAGACTTAAATGTGACCCGTGAATCCATAAAAATTCTATAAGAAAATGTAGGCAACAAAATTTTGGACATCATACGCAGCAGAATTTTCACTGATACAATACCTAAGGCAACAGAAACAAAGGTGAAAATGAACACATGAGATTACATCAAACTCAAAAGCTTCTGCATAGCAAAAGAAACAACCATCAAAATGGAAAGGCAATCCACTGTATGGGAGAACATCATTGCCAATGATACATCAGATAAGGGGTTAATTTCCAAAATACATAGAGTATTCATACAACTCAACAAAAGGAAGACAAAGAACTCAATTAAAAAATGAGCAGAGGAGCTGAATAAACACCTCTCCAAACAGGATATACAAATGGCCAAGAGACATGAAGAAATGCTCAACATCACTAATCATCAGAGAGATGCAAATTAAAACAACATTGAGATATAACTTCACACCTTTCAGAATGGCTGCCATCAACAAATTATCAAAGAAGTGTTGGCGAGGGTGTAGAGAAAGTAGACTCTAGTACACTGCTGGTGGGAATGCAGACTGGTGCAGCCATTGTGGAAAACAATATGGTGTTACCTCAAAAAACTGAAAATTGAATTTCGTTTGACCCAGTTATCTCGCTTCTAGGAATATACCCTAAGAAGCCTGAAACACCAATCAGAAATATATGTACCCCCATGTTCATAGCAGCACTATTCACAATAGCTAAGATCTGGAAACAGCCGAAATGTCCATCAGTAGACGAGTGGATAAAAAAGCTGTTGTACATATACACAATGGAGTACTATGCAGCTATAAGAAAGAAAGATCTCTTACCTTTTGAGACAACATGGAGGGACCTGGAAAGTATTCTAAGTGAAACAAGCCAAGCAGAAAAAGACAAATACCACATGATCTCACTTACAATGGAATATAATGAATATAACAGTCTGAGCAATAGGGTAGACCCAGAAACATGGAAGTAGTGTACAGACTGACAACCCTCAGAAGAGGGGTAGGTGGGGGTGGGAAGAGATAAACCATAGAACTTATATGCATGTATGCATAACCAATGGACATGGACAACAAAGCTGGGGATGGGGTGAGGGATGGGGAAGAGGGTGTCAATGGGGTAAAAAAGGAGAAACATCTGTAACAAAAATAAAATTAAAAAATAAATTAAAAAAAAAAAAAAAGAACAGGCATATAGATCAATGGAGCAGAGAAACCAGAAACTGATCCAAGACATGCTCAGTTAATATTTGACAAAGTTGGCAAGAGCATACAATGAAGTAATTACAGCCTGTTTAATAAATGGTGTCAGAAAAATTGGACAGTTTGGAAGCAAAAAAAAAAAAAATGAAGCTAGGCTACCAACTTACACTATACACAAGAATAAACTCAAAATAGATAAAAGAGTTGAATGTGACTCGTGAATCCATAAGAATCTTAGAAGAAAATGTAGGCAACAAAATTTCAGACATCTCATGCAGCAGAATTTTCACTGATACAACGCCTAAGGCAAGAGAAACAAAGGAAAAAAATACACGGGACTACATCAAACTAAAAATCTTCTGTAAAGCAAAAGAAACAAGCATCAAAATGGAAAGGGAACCCACTACATGGAAGAGCATAACTGCCAATGATATATCAGATAAGAGATTAATTTCCAAAATATATAGAGTACTCATACAACTCAACAAAAGAAAGACAAAGAACCCAATTAAGAAATTGGCAGAGGACCTAAATAGACATCTCTCGAAACTGGACATACAAATGGCTAAAAGACATTAAAAGATGCTCAACATCACTAATAATCAGACAGATGCAAATTAAAATGACTATGAGGTATCACCTCACATCTATCAGAATGGCTGCCATCAATATATCATCAAACAACAAGTGCTGGCGAGGGTGTGGAGAAAAGGGGACTCTAGTACACTGCTGGTGGGAATGCAGACTGGTACAGCCATTGTGGAAAACAATATGGTGTTTCCTCAAAAAATTAAAAATTGATCTGCCATTTGACTCAGTGATCCCACTTCTAGAACTATATACGAAGAAGCCTGAAACACCAATCAGAAAGAATATATGTACCCCCCCTATGTTCATAGCAGCACTATTTACAATTGCTATGATCTGGAAACAGCCCAAATGCCCAATAATAGATGACTGGATAAAAAGCTGTGGTACATATACACAATGAAATACTATGCAGCTGTAAGAAAGAGAGAGCTCTTATCCTTTGAGACAACATGAAGGGACCTGGAGAGTATTATGCTTAGCAAAACAAGCCAATCAGAGAAAGACAAATACCACATGATCTCACTTATTTGTCGAATATAATGAACAAAATAAAGTGATGAACAAAATAGACCCAGAGACATAGTAGTAGAGTACAGACTGACAAACCTCAGAAGAGTGGGATGGGAGGCGGGGGGGAGGGAAGAGATAAACCAAAGAACTTAAATGCATGTACGCATAACCAATGGATATAGACAACAATGCTGGGTGAGTGGCGGGGTAGCAGGGCACTCGGGAGAATGGTGTCAATGGGGGGAAAGGACAAACATCTGTAACAAAAATAAATAAAATAATTAAATAAATAAAGGTGAGGTTTCACATTAACATTTCCCCGCCTCTGGAAGACTCATCATTATGGTGTAGAATAAGTAATTACCCACAATCATCAAGCATTCATCCCTAATGAAAACTACTACACCAAAATTAACAAGAAAATATTTTAATGATTTTTTATAGTACAAAAAAACTAAACTGTGACACGTACGAGAAATGTGAAGGAATTTACAAAACCGTAAGTTATATCTCTTTAAATCCTGACAAAAATTGGATGTTGACAACAATCTGGTGTACTGTCAGCAGATTTCCATTTTTCTTCTCAAAGGCACAGTCTGGGTGATAAATCCAGCAGAGAGATCTGTCTTGGGCCTCTTTGCTCTGACCTGTCATTGACAAGTGCTACAATAGTTGAAACCACCCATCTCTGCAGATCCAAATAATAGTCTATCTGTGTGTAGCTCACTTCAATTGCTCCTCAGGTCCCTTCAGGCTGGACTTCTGATTTCTTCTTTCTTTTTGTCCTTGAATTCGAAAAAGCTTCTTCCTGAGATCCTTCTGTCGCTTCAGTTTCTCTTCTTCCTCTTTCTGCTTCGCTTTGAAGTGCTCTTTATTGTGCAGATGCCTTTGCTCCTTGGCCTTCTTCATCTTCTGGCGGTGCACGGTACTCAGGGCATCCAGCAGTGCAAGGACCTGACAAGGACACAAGCCAACAAGCATCAGAACATTCTAAAAGTTACAGCATGCTTTCCTTCTACGTTTCATGGGGCCTCAACACCTCAGCTGACTATCAAAACTAGAATCAATTCATGATACAAATGAATTTCTTAACCTAGTGAAAATTTATCCTGAACCAGGAAATTATCATTTGCATGAACATATATATAGGAGCCTATTTACTTAATAATGGCCTTCATGACAAAACTACCTTTGTTAATCACTCTTGGATACAATGTACAACCAATTAAGACAGAGTGATTTGCCCTGGCCAGTTTGGCTCAGCGGTTAGAGCGTCGGCCTGCGGTCCGGTTCCCGCTAAGGGCATGTACTTCGGTTGCAGTTTGTCCCCGGCCCTGGTTGGTTGTGCGGGTGGCAGCCACTCGATGTGTCCCTTCACGTCGATGTTTCTCTCTCTCTCTCCCTTCCTCTCTCTCCCTCCCATTCTATCTGTACAAAAAATGGAAAAATATCCTCGGGTGAGGATTAAAAAAAAGACAGAGTGATTCACCAACTGTGTGCCTATTACTCCTCATTAAAATACATGAGGCAAAGCACAGCTAAACAAAAGAAGGGAAAAGGATTCTGGCCTTGCCTCTAACTTCCAGTTCTAGTGCCTTGAATTACTCTGGCCCTTATCCTTTCCTGATGAAAAATGAGAATACAGTAGAAATGCCAAGTGTGCTACTGAAAGCATTATTTTCACATCTAAAGGCAACATGCAGGAAGCCATCTGTTGACAGTACCTTTCTTTCATGAGGCTCCCGTATAACGGCTGGTCTCAGCCTGTCCTTTGGCATCTTGCCTGCCTTTGCTTGGGTCTTAGGCTTGTTCTTAAAGGGCAGGGCTTTCTGCAAGGCTTTTGGAATGTGCAGTGAATTAAAATGTTTCTTTTGCCTCACAATCAGCTGAAAAACAAACAAACAAAGACATAAATTAACAAACAAAGATATAAATTATTATCTATGTGTATTTAAAACTTACATAAAATCTCAATGAATTATTGACTTTTTCCACAAGATGAATAAGTCCAGAATCTGGTGACCATGAGAAATAAGAATTCAATCATCCATAAAACATGGACTGCCTCAAAAGACATGCACAACTCTAGGCAGAAAACAGAACTATACAGAATATATTTACAATTCTTCCAAGAATTCAACTGTGCCCATATCTACAGTATGAAATATAGGAGTCCCAATAATGCAGATGAATAGATCCAAAGTTCCTTTTAACGAAAAATTCAGGCCTTATCTTTGGGGCACTGAGGTGGCTTTTTTCTGGCCTAACAAGAATAATTGAGCTGTTCATCTTCACTATCAACCTCTCTGGATTTAATGACACAGATCTTCCTCTAATCAGAGCCAGTGTCTCCACCCTGACTCTCACTGGAAAGTTTAACTTTATTCTGTTTCTAATGAAGTCCAGCTGAGAAAATTGAAATTTAAACAACAAATGAAGGCAAAGCATACTTCAAAATTCAATTTTTAAAGTAATCTAAATTCTATGCTTAAATTGAGACGACCAAAAATTCTTAACTGCCTCAGAAACAGTTAATGAGCATAGGGTTTTGCCCTAGGCCTTTATCAAGGTCATCAACTATATAAAGAATATTTTCACTATGTCCTTAAATTTATTATTAAAGACATCATCCACAATAATATTCAATATTCTGTTTTAGAAACTTAAAATGCTTTAGAATGAAAGAAATCAGAGAAATCACCTCCCCACAAAGAGTAAGCATCACATACTAGACAAGAGGTACCATGTCCTAAAGTGTAGTATATTTTAAGAGACATTCATGTAACATGTTTCAAAATTTTATTATAACTATTTTATAGAAAAATTAATGCCTGGGAAACTTCTTCTCGAGCAGAAGGGCAGACAGATGTCCTGAACAACCATCTTATTACAAAACAATGAAATATCCTGCATTAAAACAAACAACTCTTTTCAAATGTATTGTTAACCTGAGAAGACAATAATGAAAGTTTTGAGACCAAAATCTAAATGAAAATGAGAGTCCAGACTACTAAGAACTTAAAATAAAAACATACCGATGAGGCCAAACTGGCAAGGATATGGAACAACTGGAACTCTGGTAAATCGTCAGTGGGCGTCTAACTGGATACGACTTCAAAATACCACAAGCACCATATGCTGACGTTGAACCCATGCATACTCTGTAACCCAGCAATCCCATCCTGGGGGATCCATGTAACAAAAATGTGTGCTTGTGCACACAAACAAGTCACATATATGTGTTCAGGGAAGAATTTATAATGGCCAAATATTGGAATTAAAGTCCATCAATAGATAAACTGATATAGTCAGGTAACAGAATTCTACTCAACAATAGCAACAAATTAATTTCTTGCTATATACAAGAACATGGATGAATTTCATAATACAGTGATACCTCGGTTCTCGAACATAATTCGTTCCAGGAGGACGGTCGAGAACTGAATTGTTCGAGAACCGAAGCAATGAAACCAATAGGAAAGCGTGACTCCACAAAGCGTGACTCTCTCTCTGCACTCACACTGATGACGCAAGCAAGGCGCGCTGGGCCGAATGAACACCATTCGGCTCAACTCGGCTCATCTCGGAAGTTCGTGTTCCAAATATTTGTTCGGATTCCGAGACAAGTTTCTCGAATCTCCTGGTCGAATACCGATTTGGTCGAAAACCGAGGCGGTCGAGAACCGAGGTATCACTGTACTACTGAAAGAAGCCAGGTAAAATATATGCTATAGTTTATAAAACTCAAACACAGGCAGAACTAATTTACGTGTTAGCAGTAGGACAGTGACAATCTTTGAGGAAGAAGAGAGGAGTGACTGGGAGAGGTCACAAGGGGGCTCTTCTGTTGTGCTGGTAATGCTATTGTTTCATCCAGGTGATAGCAATTTGGGTGTGTTAAAGTTCACTTAGTTGTACACTTCTGATTTGGGAACTTTTCTGTTTGTACATTAACATTTCAATTAAAACTCTGCCCTAAACCTACACTGCTTCAGTAAGAATTAGCACATTGTTTTAAGAACTAATAAATGTATATGGTGGAAAAAAACAGTCCAAAAGAATATACAATGAAAAGTTTAAGTCTCTTTTCCAAATCAGAGAAAACGACTATGACCACTTTCCTGTGTTTCTTCTAAAATAGTCCATGAATATACATGTTCATTCAAATTTAATGTTAGCCTTTCCACTTGAAAATTCAAAGCACAGAAAATGTTACATACAAAGCATCTGGATAACCAGTCTACAGGGCACATGTGTGACTGTACCTTATACAAAGAATCCTTATTGGGCTTCAGTTTAATATGATGGGCGAGCCGGAGCTGACCAGTTGTCCGCATTCCAGACCAGGTATCTTTCTCACCAATTGGTTTCAACAAAGATGTCACTGGGTTATAGAAGGCTGGAATGGAGACAGGATACCAAGTTCTCATGAAGACAATATCTGGAAAGAGAGGAAATTTACTGTAACATTTTCATAACAAGGTTCATATTCATATATATGTCAAACAAAAGAACAAATCATTCACTCCAAACTTCTCTATCTGGTTGTAGAGTATTTGAAGACAAATTTTACCATAGTGAACTACTCTTGAATATCACACAACTTTTACTGGGTGTGAACCACATGGCTCCAAACACAGCATGGCCTGGCACACTGTGCAAGATGCTCCAAACCAGGGAAACATGAAGCTGACTCCAGCTTTCCAAAGACCCACAATAGCTAGAAATCAGTGGTGAATGGTAACACACTGTTGTGAACATACCACAGAAGATACTTACCACTCATCAGCAACTTATCCTCAAAGGTGGCCCGGAAAGCTCCTTCTGGAGTTCGGAGTGCTTTCTTGATCTGTCCCCTTATTCCACTGACAGTACGAACCACAGCACCTTCAAATTTGGCCACTTCTAAGGCGGAATTAAACATTCCCTACAAGTATACACATAAAAAAATACACAGACACAATTATATACTTTACTTAATTAATAAATACATCCTTGGTTATAAAACACAAAACAACTCATTGAAGGGTGATAAAGGTAATAATCAAAATGAACCCTCCCACTAAAAGTAGAGTTACTAGGTCAAAAGAATACAGCTATATTTTATTTCCCCCCAAAAAAGATGAACTAAGACTCTATTATGGGTTCATTAAGATGCTCATCATTGATATCGTTATAGAACAGAAGAGCAAAAGGTATTTGTTAGACAGAACTAGCCCAGATAGTCTCTGCTGTCCTTTCACAGGGATGGACTGCAGCGCCTTTCCTGTTACTTGGGTACACACATTCAGAAAATAAAAGACCTAGATAAATGCTACATTATCAGAACATTTTATTATCCTCTTAACTCTGTGTTAATGGGAACACCTCTAGTAATGAAATTTCCACAGAATGTCACTCAAACCCCCTCCTACGTTCTATGGCACGAGTGTCCATTCCTCTACACCCTGCCAACAAATGCTTTCAGAATAGCTTCATCTGTTTTCCTCCTGATCTGTTTGACAAACATACGATTTTTCTCTTTTATTGACACAAACCAAAAAGGCAGAAAACAAAGCCCAGTGAATGATTACACATTTCAATATTAGCTCTGTGAGAGTCTCACATGGAAGTAATAAGTAACAGCCTCAATTACAAAAATCTGTTACTTCACCTTAAGATTTCTGACCATATATATTAAGTGACAAAGAGACCAACAACAACAAAAAAAAGTAAACTGAAAATATCAAAGACCAAGTTTATAAAAACAGTTTAAATCCTTTTCTGAAATCATTAGACCTTATTTTAGAAGTTATTTCATTCCTCCTTTAATGATACAGGGTGGGCAAATATAGGTTTACAGTTATAATACAAATAAATAATAATTAATAAACAATACAAGAATAAACTTTTATATACTCATAACTGTAAACTTACTTTTGCCCACCCCTGTATATATATTTATAAATATGTAAATATACAGATATACAGACCTTAATGAATGAAGTATTCTTAAAAATTTTATATGGAAAACCAGTTAGCTTTAATTTCTTCACAATTTTTATGGATTTATCCAGATCAAGAACAATTCCTGTGGCAGCTATCCGGAAATCAGGCTAAAAAGGAAACCTCCAAAATGTGAATACAGGAATAATATCAGCAAGAAAAAAACTAAAGTTCTCTGCGATACAATAAATTCCCAAAGTATATTTCACTTTCAATCAACTAAGAGAAAACAAAAAAGAATATCTGAACATGAAAAACAGTATTTGAACAAAAGCAATCTGAAACAATAATAAATGTAAGCCAAACTAATAAGGATGTTTTCAGTGTTTTCCTGAGGGGAATATCATAGTAACATAATTTCACAACAATGACCTATTTGCATTAAAAGGAACATAAAATTTTAGTTACAATGTTAAAGAAAAATTTTGAATCTCCAGGGTGGGTTCCATCTGCTCATTATTCTGTTTTCAGTTAAATGGGGCCAATAAAACCTGCTCTGATTGATCAAATGAAGACTGTGTAAAACACTTTGCTAAACCAACATTACAGGGAGGTAGTCTTATGTTTAGCTAGAATCTGATATGTCCCCCAGAACCTAGTATAGTATTTAGCACATGGTGAACACTGCTTAAAATTTTTAGAAAAATAAGTCCAAAAAAGTGCATAAAAATAGAAAATGTCATCGGTATCATTACAATTCTTCTTCTACCTCCCTCTTCTCCACTCCCACAATCTACTTAAAAAGATGTAGGAAAATTAAAAGCAAAGAGAAATTTACTATACACAATAAAAATGGGTAATTTTTCCAATTAAAGTTTCATGTATATACTCCATATTCAAGATACGTCTCAAACACAATATGTAAAATAAAACATCCAAATACATACTGTTATGCCACTGACAAACTGTACTGCCAAGAATCCAGTTCCTTGTGGAGTAATAGGACCTTAAATAAAACAGAAAAAAATATACAATGAACCACAAAATTTGGAATCTGCTTTACATTATACGCCAATCCAAAAAAAGAGAGAATTGGGATTTCATAAAATGAAAAAAGCAAAACTATAATGATAAAGCCTAAAAGGTTTAAATTAACCTCAAGGTGAATTATTCTAATCATATTTTACCCCAAAAGGCTGCTCCACAATGCATGTGCTGTGGAGTGTATTTTAGAAGCCTCTGTCTTCCATTGTGGTCTTCGATATAATAAAGTGGGATGGTCTGAAACCTCCTCCACCCTACAGAGAAAACAATTGGATCTCGGGACTTGAGGATTTTCTTATACCAACGATGTTTCTTCAGACGCAGCTGAGAGGAGAAGAGATTTGAATAAGATTATTCAGTGAAAGTATGTCCAAAAAAATGTCAACTGTCAAATCACAAAGCAAAGGGTACCTACCTGTACATATCCAACACTGCCCTCACTATTGCCCAAACCACCCAAAATAATTGGGTAATGGGGGTCAAAGTTAAGCACGAATTCACAGGGGACATTCTCTATCTCAATTCGGACATACATCCCAGGTCGAAAACCCTCATATTGAACTCTGGCTTCATCATCTTGATCTTCAAATTCTGCCCGGTTAAGCTATGTATAAGAGGGGAGGGAAAAAACAATAAAAAACCTACAATGTTGTCATCTTTAATAAATGTAAGATTCATATATGTAAAATAAGCAATTTCAAAATAAAGAAACCATAAACAGAATGATTTAGACTTTATCCCAATTAAAAATAATCTATATTCAATCTTCATAGTCTGTTCAGGATACGTCCCAATAATTTTCTCCTCTGTTGTTCCAAGGAATAGCAAATGTGAGCAACTCAGAAAGGAGCCCTTAATGCTGCTGAGCAAACACCCTCAACTTCCCTAGACCACACTTCTTTTTCTTATTCTCCAAACAATTATTTCATACTTTTTCTCTTTTCTTCAAACACCTAATATCCACCCCTCATCCTCATTCCTAGCTATTGTCAGAGTTTCCTAATTCACTCAAAAGCTAAGCAATCTAAAAGAACTTTTAACAGTCAACCCCTCTGCCAGGGTTTACAGTCATATCTAGCCTTTTATTATAGCTCTACACTGTTCAATATGGTAGCCACAGATGGCTTTTCAAATTAAAATTAAATGAAAAATTTAAAATTCATTTCCTTAAGTCACATTTCAAGGAGGTCAGTACCAACATGTGGCTAGTGGCTACAATACAGTACAGCATAGATATACATTTCCCTTACCACAGAAAGTTCTACTGGGTGGTTGTTACAGATTGTTTATCTAGTTAATGTCAAATCTCACTTGCATACTAGGTATCATCCACTCTTGGACTTCATTTTAGTATATCTTGCCTGTTACTTCTCTCATCTTAAAACCTTCTTTTGACTGCACTTCCTTTAACTAGTCCCCCATTTTTCTGCTTCTTTCTGAAGAAAAATGCCACAGAAGTTTTCTATAGTTGCCGTCTCCATTTCCTCTTCTTCCATTCTCTTAAATTCCCTAAAACTAGACTTTAACCCACATTTCATAAAAAATGTTTGCCAGAGTCACTTAAAGACCTCAACATTCCTAATCCAGTGGTCAATTCTGTCTTGATCAGAATTAACACATCAGCAAAATCTGAAATAATTTATCACGCCCTTCTATAGTGGCTTCCAGCATACTTCACATTCTCTCCCAGATTTCTTATGTCTCCCGAGTGGTGCTCAATCCTCATTGCTACTTCCTCCTCTCTGCCCAGGCTCTTACAACAGAGTACCCCGTGGGAGGATTGGTCCTCTTCTCCTCTGCCTCCACACTCACTCCCCATGCCATCCCATCCATCTCATGGCTTTATGCAGCATCTAAATCTAAGGCCCTGACCCTAACCTCTCTAGAAATCTTCACTGACTACTTGACACTCTACTTGTCTGAAAGATAACCCAAACTTAACAGATCTAAACTTCATCTTCCCAGATAAACCTATAAAAGCTAGAAGCTTTTCTATCTTTTGTAAACCCAATTCTTCCAGTAAGTCATCCTTATTTTCTCTCACACATCCCACATTCAATCCAGCAGGTAATCCTACTGGTCTACCTTTCAAATAAAATCTACCCAGAATTTGATTCTCTTTCCCCTCCACTGCCATTCCTCCTGGCCCCCAGTGTGGGTTACTTTAATCTTACTCAATTCTTGCTAGTGCAATCCTCTCAAAGGTGATTAGATCACACATATCTCTCCTCTGCTCAAATGGTCCCCATTTCACTCATAGTAAAAACGTCAAGTCCTTTATAATGGCCCATGAGGTGCCACATTATTTAGTAGCGAATGTCAGAAGCAAAGACTTCAGAACTAGCTTTACATTTCTCAGTCACTTCTATCAAAGGTCAGTACAGACTTGGAACCACTACATTAATGACTAACCAGCAGATACTTCTTTGACTAAATGAAGGCTTAGGATGAGCAAAGCCTGTTGATCGCATTTTCACAAATTATATACTTAACTTGCATAAGGTATGTTCCAGCTTACAGGGATTCCTGGTGCCCAGTTGTTAAAGCACTGACTACCAACTGCGTACATCTTTGTGTGTCTTTCAGAGCGAGCTCGGCATCCCCTGGTAAGATGGCTACACTATCTCCCTTTCAGCATTCCATATGCCCCCTTTATCTCCACATCTGACCTTAACTCAAAATACCCCTAAACTCTGGCCAAGGTGAGTTTTCAGAAACCTTCCTTAAGAACACTGGTGTATGCATCAGCCACATAAGCCAAGAATCGCTTTCCCAGTCAGATGATTTGATTATGGTTCCAGGGAGTAGTAATATGAATGCTAAAGCAATGCTCACATTTAAATAATCTCATTGCCTTAAATAACTATACTGTGAGGTCCTCAAAAGTGGGGGCAGCATCTCAGCCATTTGTTTCCTAAGCACTTAATGCTTGGTACAAAATAGGCACTAATATCTTTCTGGTGGATTTCTGACAGAAGAAACAGATGACTGCACGAATAAACACATTCATCTGTTACTTCAACCTCGGAGTCCAAACGAGAGGCACAGAAATAGATCGAGGAGCAGAGAGCTAAAGAAAGTTAAGTATTCATAACACTCTATTACAGCCTTGAAATGAGGCTGATAGGACCTGAATTTTCTTACCTGTGCTTGTTTCTGCATTTCTCCTTTAAGATCATCAAAGTATGTGCTTTCTCCTTCATCATATTCTGCATCAAACATCTCCTTCAATTTTCTCTTCTTATCCAAATGTTTTTTCTTGGCACTTTCCTCTGCACAGGGGTCAATTTCTTCCTTAACTTCTTCCTCTACATCTTCAATCTTAAAATTCCAGAAGAGATAATTTTATAAAAGTCTGTGATCTTCTTTTTAGATTTAAAGATTTTAAAAGTTTTATTGAGCTGCAAAAATCTAAGTTATGATTGTCATGAAAAAAAAACAAAACAAAACACAGCCTTGAGCTCTAAGTAACCTGGACTGCTATGAGAGACACTTAGACATCTGTATTATGATTAACTGCTATTCCTTAATCTGTTTGGGAAGGCCAAATGTGAATAAAATAACAGCAAGTGTCCCCAACCCAGATGCTCCCAGATACTGTTTTAAAGAAATCTTAGGGAGAACAGGGATTAGTTTTTCTAAATGACATTTTATTTATTTGTTTAGGTATGCACATTTTCTTCTTTTTTCTCTCTCTTTTTATTTAATTTACTGGGGTGACATTGGTTAATGAAATTAAACAAGTTTCAGGTATACAATTCTGTAATACTGTAATGACACTGTAATGTGTGTTCACCATCCCATTCAAGTCTCTTTCCATCACCATTTATCCCCTCTATACCTTCTTCTACCTCTCCTAACCCTTTTACCACCACCCATTCCCTCTGGCAATCACCACACTATTTTGTCTGTGTCCATGAAGCTTTTTGTTTCTTTCTTAATCTCGTCAACCATTATTATTCAACTTCCCAAACCTCCTCCCCTGTGACAACTGTCAGTCTGTTCTTTATCTATGAGTCTGTTTCTATTTTGTTTGGTAGTTTATTTTGTTCATTAGATTCCACATGATTTAGAAGAGGAGAATGATGGCAAAAGGAATGGTGGAGAACTAGACAGTGACCCAAGAGCTAAAACTTTCAATGACTAAAGAATCATAATGACAAGAAGAGGTAATAGATGTTACTCCAAAGATCAAGAATAACAAATAAACCAATGACCTTTGATCAGTCCCCACCCTCCATGTTTTCAGGAAGGAATCCATTCAGTCTCTAATCTATACAGATAATAAGATTAGACTTTCTCAAAATAGGCCACTTTCAGAATATAATGACCACAGATCAAGGACCAGTGGCTGACAGCTGGCTATGGCAAAGTCATACCTGAGTGTCCAGGCCTGATTTTCCCTTGTGCACGTCCCCTGTTTCCAGGTCTTCAAAGTCACCATAGAGCTCCTCTGGGGAAAGAACATCCAAATGACTCTCTGTGAATAGGGTCTGCATGTGACACTAATAGCACCCAGTTCCAGGTGAACAGTGCGTTCTGCACCCCAAACTTCATTTTTGCTATTCCTATCACAACACACCCAGAAAACCCTACACTCACACAGGCTTTTTTCTTCTTAAATTGTATTTCATCACCTATTTAGGTTAAGTAAACAAGTCTAATCCACTCCTCCATACTTTACTTCAACATACCACACACCAAGAGCTATTTTTCCAATATAGGAAACAGACAATGTAGCATAGATACACACATGCATGGCCCTGCAGGTGAGACCCCCAAAACCAAAAGTTCAAAGAATGGCTTGAAAATCCATGGCTTCAATAACAGCATGTGTGACAGAGAGTTCACTAGTAAGCTCAACACAATACAACTGTTGACATACCTAGGGAAAAATCTTTGATTATAAGAGTAGTGCCTAAAACAGTGCTGAGCCCACATGAAGAGTGTATTCATTCATTCAGTTGTTTTTGAAGCTCTAAGTTCAGTTATAAACATTATCCTTAGAATAAACAGACAAGTTAAAAGTCCTCTGGGAGGCAATTTTAGAAAGGTATTAAAACATTCTCATATAAGAAAGACTCAAAGAACCAAAGAGCCAAAGGAAATATAAAAGATGGGAAGATTCCACTGTAATAAAAACAAAAAATGAAATATTTAGAAATAAACATGAAATATGCTAGATCTTGAATAATATTATAAAGTCTTTACTATGCTACCAAAGGACTTAACATTAGTTAACACTTTTAAGTGTTTTGCATTCCAGGCACTGCTCTAAGTATTTTAAATGTCTTAACTACATTTTTCAACATGACCCAGTGAAGAAAGTATTATTATCTACTGAACAAATAAAGACTATGATGTCTGGAAAGAAAGATTCATATCGCCCTGGCTGGTTTGGCTCAGCAGTTAGAGCATCAGCCCACAGACCCAAGAGTCGTGGGTTCGATTCTGGTCAAGGGCACGTACCTCAGTTGCAATTTGCCCTGGCCCTGGTAGGGGTCATGTGGGAGGCAATCAATCAATGTTTCTCTCTCTCTCCCTCTATCCTCCACTCTATCTAAAGATAAAAATGGAAAAAAATATCCTCAAGTGAGGATTTAAAAAGATAAATAAAATAAAAAACTTACAAAAAAAAAAAAAAGGCAATAGTTAGTGCTATATTGCTATCTCATAAAATAACTTCAGAGGAAAGAAAATTATCAGAGCCAGAAAGGGACTTCACTGAACTGTAAGACTTAAAATTTCATGTGCTACCCTGACATCTTTGAGCCTCACAGGACCCCAAAGGCCTAGGTGAGAGTAGGCCTGTGATATTCTCCCACTCTATGGAAAGGATCCCCACCCTACTAGTTCCTTTATCTGTTGAGTCAGGTGCACCTCATCTAGTCCTCAACCTAACAAGTTTCACAGACCACAAACTTATTCAAAAAAGCTAAAACCAAGGAAACCAATGGTTATCCTGTGCTCTTTTAAGTACAAACCCTGTCTCCCAAATACAATCCCTGCATGGTATGTGGTGTCTTTTTCCCTTGGGCTGTAAGTGTCTGTAACCACAGCTGTCCTCACCTGTCTAGTGTTAGGTATTGGCTGTTTGACCACACCTATAATCCTAGGGCTGGAATCCCTTCCCTCACCAATTGACTGAATAAAAGGAGACCATAATATATAATGACAGAAGGATCAACCACCAGGAAGATGTCAAGATCCTAAATTTGTATGCACCAAACAGAGCCTCAAATATATGAAGCAAAAGCTGATAGAGCTGAGAGAAGAGAGAAAAATCTACAATTACACTGGGCCACTTCAACATCCTCCTCTCAGCAACTGACAAAACCAGACAGAAAACCAGCAAAGGTACAGAAGAGCTGAACAACACAATCAACCCATCAGAATCCAATCGACACATATAGAACACTCTACCCTGACAGCAGAATACACTTTTTTTAAGCACCCACAGCACATCTACCAAGATAGGGCACATTCTGGGTAATAAAGCAAAGCACAACAAATCTAAATAGTGTGAAATCATGAGAGAATGGTCTTAGAATATAATTAAACTGGAAATCAATAACAGAAAGACAATCGGAAATTTTCTTAACATTTGATTATTAAACAACACATTTCTAAATAATGCATGGGTCAAAGAGAAATCACAAAAGAAATATAAAAATGCACAGAACTGAATATAAATAAAAATACAGCTATTAAAATCTGTGGGGTACAGCTAAGCAGTGCTAAGAGGGCATTTTACAGTACTACATACTCACATTAGAAATTAGACAAGTTCTCAAACCAATAACCTAAGACAATTTAAAAGTGCAAAATAATCTAAAGCTAAAAGCAGAAATAATAAAGAGCAGAAATCAACAAACTGAAAATTAGAAGAATGCATGCACCAAGGAAAGGCCATGTGAACTGGCTGTCTATACAGTCCATGGAGAGAGAGAGCTCAGACACCAATCCTGTGGGCACGTTGATCTTGACTTTCCTGCCTCCAGAACTGTAAAACGAAGAATGACGAATCTGTTAAGGAAAATTTCTCAGAGATAGACTGTTAAGAAAATGTCACTGTGATGATGAATCTACAATGTCACCTGAGCAGAAGCTAGGTTTGAAACAAGCAGAACACTTAGAGATCCTCAGACTTGAAAAAGTATGTTATTTGGAGGAAAATGCCTATTTGATAACTCTTCTTTCCCAAGTATAGCTCTTTTTAGTTTTCTTCTTCTATTCCCAAGGCAAAGATAGCATTCGTCTCTCCTTATTTCCCTTTCCTTTCTTCTTCTCTCTCTTTTCCCTTTCTTCCCTTTGTTTAGAAAATCCTTACATCTATGAGTCTGACTTCATTTATTCATCCCAGAGGTTGACCAACTATGGCCTACCATTTTATTTGTTTTCTTTATGCATTTTTTTTAATTGTAGTAAAACACACCTAGCCCCTTGTTTTTGTAAACAAATTTTTACTGGAATAGAGCCATGCTCATTTGTTTACATATTGTCTATGGCTGCTTTTATGCTACCACAGCAGAGTTGAGTAGTTGCTACAAAGAATATATAGCCTGCAAAGCATAAACTATCTACTATTTACCAAAGCATAAAATATTTACCAAAATATCATTCTGTCCCCTTATGCAAGAAGTTTGTTGAAGTATTGAGTTCGACAGAATAAAAGCAATCAAAATTAAATCGAATCAATCAAAATGAAATAAGTATAAGCTTATCAAAATATAATCACCATCAGTATGCTAAAAATTACGAAACACTGATGAAATAAATCAAACAATTAAATGGACAGACATACTATGTTCCTGGATTGTAATACTCAAAATAGTAAAGATTCTCCCCAAATTGATCTTTGATTTAATGTGGCTCCTATCAAAATCCCAGCAAAGTGCTTTGCAGACATAGACAAGCTTATTGTAAAATTTATATGCAAAGTCACAGGCCCTAGGATAGATAAACAATATTTAGAAAAAATAATATAATGAATCACTCTACCCAGTATTAATGTTTACTACATAATTACAGTAACTAAGATAGTTGGTATTGGTGAAGGGGCGGACACATGAATGAATAAAAACAAAGAATCCAGAAAGAGACTCATACACAAATGCTCAACTAATCTTTGACAAAGCTGCAAAAGTAATTCATGGAAAAAAAAGTGCTAGAGGAATCTTACACTCACAAGTAAAATATAAACCTTGACCTAAACCTCACATCTTATTAAAAAAAAAAATCATAGACATGAACAGAAAGGCTATAAAACTTTTAGAAAACATAGAAGAAAATCTTCAGGGTCTAGGAAATTGTTCTTAGACCTTACATCAACTATATGATCCCCATGACAAAAAAATAATAAACTAGACCTCATCAAAATGAAAAACTTTTGCTCTATGAAAGGTCCTGTTAAGAAAATGAGAAGACAAACTATAGGAGACCACATCTCCAACAATGGAATAAAATTTATAAAGAACTTCCAATATTCAACAGTAAAATAAAATAAATTATCCAATTAAAAAAGGGCAAAAGACATCCATAGACATTTTACCAAAGAATACATACAGATGACAAATGTTCAACATCATTAGCCAACAGAAAAATACAGGTTGGGGCAAAAGCAGGTTTACATAAAACACAGAGTTTATTCTTGTATTATTATTTATTAATTACTATATTATTTCCCATACTAACAACTGTACACCTACTTTTGCCCCAACCTGTATAGCTCCACAGCTAACCACCATTAACACTGCCAAGCTAGCCTCCTTTCCCTCCCTGCTCTCTCAAGCTATATTTGAACTAGCTTGGGACGAATGTCCTGCCCTCCCCAGAACGCCTCATTAGTGAGTCCATATCTTCTTGATGCATGTGTGCTGTCATCTCTCAATCTCCAAACCAAATTTTGGGTGAGAGGTTTATTAGTATAATGAATCACGTCAAAAAAAAAAAAGAAAGAAAAAGAAAAGAAATGACAAAAAGCCATTAAAATTTAATCAAAAATATAAAACTGGCTAGGAACAACAATGGTAAGAAATATATGGTGATGCACAAAACTTTAATTAGAGATAGAAAAGACTTAGAAGTAGATTGTGTTCCTGGAGAGAACTGAATACTGTATAAAAGATTCAATTATTCCCAAATCAGTTTTTCAGTTTAACGTAATACCAATTAAAAAACAAAATGTATTTTATAATTTACCAAAATGGTTTTTAAAGCTAATTCCAACTGGCAAGTAGAAGTATGACATTTGGGACATTTAGGGCAATTTAAGTTCAGAATTAAAATGTATATATTTTTGGCAAAGTAATTCCATGTCTAAATATCTGCTCTACAGACATATTCCCACAGATTATTAAGGATGTTCACTGTGACTTTATTTGTAAGAATAAAAAACAAAAATTCAATGAGCATTAATGGTTAAGTAAGTGATGGCACATCAACACAGCCATTAAAAGGAATGAGGCTGCTCCAACTATATGACAAATAAGGCTATGTCACAATTCTCACTTTAATGAATTGATCTTATAAAAATAAAAAGTGATCATAAGTTATATCAAGGGTCCATAAAGTAATTTACTTTGTCCATAAAGTAAATTACTTACACATCAAACAATAAAACTCTGAATTAGAGTACTCAAGGTATAAACACAAAATCTTCAAAGAACTATTTAATGACTATTTATACACCATATGATTATAGCAAGAAAAATTTATATATACATATATGTCTATACAAAAATTTTAAACAATTCAAAAGGTTAACAAAAGATTTTTTTACAGGTGGTAGAGATTATGGTAGAATATTAACTTTTTATTCTAAGTGTTTTATAATGCATACTATATCATTAAAAAGCAAATGTAAATGCTATTTGAATATATTTTTCACACACACAAAAATCTTTTTTTAACAAACACAATGTAAAATTTATGGAAAGATTCCCAGTTCTCTTCAAGGTTCCTATCTAATAAGTCAGTTAACCAGGGAGAGAAAATAAAGTCAACACGAGAGGAAGAACCAGAATATTACCCATCTCGTGTCAGTGTTCACCAAGCACTTCACAACTGACTATATTTTTGACCACACCAAAGACATGGAAGAAGTTACAGAGGAGTAGTCTTTGTTGAAGAATACAGCCCTTTACTTACCATCTTCTGCTAAGATCTTGGCTGCATCTTTATCCTCTTCCCACTTCCCGGTCACAAAGCAATCTCTGATAGTGTTCATAACCTTACACAGAAACACCAGAACTTAATTAAAGTAGATAGGAAACGTTCTATTAGCCACTGACCTCATAAGTAAACATATATGTACTAATTCAACTGATATTCAAAGTTTATTAGTGTTCTTATGGCAATGAAGTTAAACAGTATTTTTAGAAAGTTGATCTTACTATTTACTATTCCAGACTTATGGTGGCTGTTTGAAAACTTAATTCCTTTGACCAACAATATATTCTGACAAGGACAGAATGTTCTTTATGGGTATAGTAGTATAAAAAGCACTGATGAAGTGCTCAGGCTCAGACCTGCCAGATCATCTAGTGTACGCATGTAGTGGATGCTTGGTGCACCTCTCAAATATAGAATAAAACCTTGTACACAACTCTGCATTTCAAAGTTTGTCTCCTGTGGAATCTGACATAAGACAGAACATATCATTCATTCACTGCCAAGGCCTCAAAGCCACACTTATGGAAATCTCACACAGGTCTGAGCTTTCACCTGAATCATATCTTGGTTATGAATCATGTTTTCATACAAAACCCAACTCTCGAAGAGTAACCTCAAGGCTAACATAATTACAATGGACAAAAAAGCACATTTGTTCATTTACTCATTCCTTTATGCCTACAATCACTCACTAAGCATTTAATGAACATACCATTTTACCATTTTATGCCAAAAAGCTCTATAGGCAAACTGTTCCCGGACCATCCTTATTTCATTAAGCTTAATAATCAACATAGGGGAACCAAAGACCAAACTATTTTTAAAAAATTAGAACCTCCATTAAAAGCATTCAACTGACTACGAAAAGAAGGAAACTTCCTCAATATGATAAAGGACATCCATTAAAAATCCCACCACTAGCATATTTAATGGTGAAAGACTGAGCACTTTCCCCTAAGATCAGGAATAGGACAAGAATGTCTGCTCTCACTCCTTTTCAACATTGTATTAGATGTTCTAGTCAGGGCAATTAGGCAAGACATTGAAATAAAAGGCATCCAGTTTAGAAAGGAAAATTGCCTCTACTCGGATGATATAATCTGGTATAAAGAAAATCGTAAGGAATCTACTAAAAAAAAAAAAAAAAACTATCAAAACTAATCAATCAGGGAGTTCAGCAAGGTTGTAAAATACTAGATTAACATAGAATAATAAATTTTATTTCTATACATTAGCAATTTTTTAAAAATCCTATACTTCTGGTCAAAATGGCAGAGTAGGTAAACACAGTATCGTGTTCTCCCACAACCACATCAAAGTTACAACTAAGCTATAGAACAACCATCATTCAAAACCGCCTGAAATCAAGCTGAATGGAAGTCCTACAACTACAGAATTAAAGCAGCAGCCACATGGAGACTGGTAGGAGGGCGGAGGTGGACAGGCTGGTCCCATACCCATGTGTGGCGGATAAAAATCAGAAGGACACCTCGGCTGGGAAGATCCTCCCTGAGGACTGAGGGGTCCCCGTCCCACACCGGGTGCCCTGCTCAGGGTTCCAGTGCCAGGAAGAGAAGTCCCATAACTTCTGGCTGGTAAAAAACAGCGGGAACTGAGGCTGAGAGAGGGTGAGGCTGCAGAAGCCCCAGGCAGCTCCTCTTAAAAGGCCCATGCATGAACTTAGACTCACACCCTCCAGGCTCTAGCGTGGGTCAAGCAGCTTGAAAAACACCAGAGACATATGGGAAGAACTGAGTTGTTTGGCATTGGAGCGAGGGCTGGAGAGGAGGCTTTCTCCTGGACAGATGTGCTATCAGAGGCCTTTGTTCCTTTGGTGAGCCCTTTCCTGGGGCAGCAGACAGCCACCATATCTACGACTCCAGCAACTTGGCTCACACTGTGTGTCCCACACTGGTGATTCCCTAAGGCCCTGTCCCACCCAACTTTCAGGGCCATCCAAGCTGTTGCCAGTTGCTTTATCATGGGATTGGACTGTCTTGGATCCTGCTTCAGGTTTTCTTAAATTCCTTCAAACAAGCAGCATCTGGACTCAGCTAGCCCCACACCTCTCATTAATTAACACATAGAAACAAACACAGGAAGGCAGCCTAAATGAGGAGACAAAGAAACAGGTTCCCAATGAAGAACACAACGAAACTCCAGGGAAAGAACTAAATAAAATGGAGATAAGCAACCTAATAGATGCAGAGTTCAAAAGACTGCTTATAAGGATGCTCAATGCACTTAGTGGGAACCTCAATGAACTTAGTGAGGGCCTCAAGAGCATAAAAAAGGAGCAGTCATAAATGAAGGATGCACAGTAGGAAATGAAGGAGGCACTAACTGAAATAAAGAATGATTTACACAGACTCAATAGTAGAGTAGGTAAAGCCAAGAAGCAAACCATCAATTTGGAATATAAGAAAGCAAAAAGCACCCAATCAGAACAACAAAACGAAAAAAGAATCCAAAAAAAATGAGGATAGTGTAAGGAGCCTCTGGGACAACTGCAAGCGTGCCAACATTCGCATCTTGGGGGTGCCAGAAGGAGAAGAGCGAGAACAAGAATTTGAAAACCTGTTTGAAATAATAATGGCAGAAAACTTCCCTAACTTGGTGAAGGAAACAGACATACAAGTCCAGGAAGCACAGAGAGTCCCAAACAAGATAAACCCCAAGAGGCTCACACCAAGACACATCATCATCAAAATGCAAAGGTTCAAGACAAAGAGAGAATCTTAAAAGCAGCAAGAGAAAAGCAGTTAGTTACCTACAAGGGAGTTCCCATAAGGCTGTCAAATGGGGATTTCGCAAAAGAAACTGCAGGCCAGAAGGGAGTGGCAAGAAATATTCAGAATGATGAAAAGCAAGAACCTACAACCAAGATTACTCTATCCTGCAAAACTGGCATTTAGAATCGATGGCCATATAAAGTTTCCCAGACGAGGAAAAGCTAAAGGAGTTCATCACCACCAAACCATTATTATACGAAATGTTGAAGGGTCTTCTTGAAAAAAATATATATATATATGAACAAACAAAATGGCAATGAATACGTATCTATCGACAACTGAATCTACAAACAAAATGAACAAGCAGAACAGAAACATTCTTATAGAGAAATTTTGTTGGTTGCCAGATGGGAGGGGGGGTTGGAGAATGGTTGAAGGGATTAAGAAGTACAAATTGGTTGTTAGATTGACAAACCTCAAAAGGGAGAGTGGAGGAGGGGAAGAGATAAACCAAAGAACTTATATGTATATATGCATAACCAATGGACACAGACAACAGTGTGAGAAAATGCAGGAGAGGGGCGGGAATGGGGAGGAGGGGGGTCAATAGGGGAAAAATGAAGAACATTTTTAGTACATTCAACAATAACAATAAATTTAAAAAAAATAAATAAATGAATGAAATTTTTAAAAATCCCGAAAGGAAAATGAGAAAACAGTTCCTTTTATAATAGCATCAGAAAGAATAAAATGCTAGGAATAGCCTGGCCATTGTGGCTCAGTGGTTGAGCATCGACCCATACACCAAGAGGTTCCCGGTTCGATTCCCAGTCAGGGCACATGCCTGGGCTGTGGGCTCACTCCCCAGTGGGGGGACATGCTGGAGGCAGCCAATCAATAATCTCTCTTATCAATGTTTCTATCTCTCTTCCCCCCTTCCTTCCTCTCTCTCTAAAAATTAATTAGAAAACAAAAATTTTTTTTATGCTTATTGGACATTTATTTTTTTTTAATTTTTATTTTTTATTTAATCAATTAATTTATTTTTGTTACAGATGTTTCTCCTTTTTCCCCTCCCCGCCCTCTCCTGAGCTTTGTTGTCCATGTCCATTGTTCATGCATACATGCATATAAGTTTTGTGGTTTATCTCTCCCCCACCACCGCCTCTTCTGGGGATTGTCAGTCTGCATACCCCTTCCACATCTCTGAGACTACCCCATTCCTAAGACTGTTATGTTCATTATATTCCACAAATAAGTGAGATCATATGATACTTGTCTTTCTCTGTTTGGCTTGTTTCGTGTTGGATGACACTTTCCAGGTCCTTCCATGTTGTCTCAAAGGATAAGAGATCTTTCTTTCTTACAGCTGCATAGTACTCCATTGTGTATATGTACCACTGCTTTTCTATCCATTCGTCTACTGATGGACATTTGGGCTGTTTCAGATCTTAGCTATTGTAAATAGTGCTGCTACAAACATGGGGGTACATATATTCTTTCTGATTGGTGTTTCAGGCTTCTTAGGGTATATTCCTAGAAGTGGGATCACTGGGTCAAATGGCAGTTCAAGTTTTAATTTTAGAAAAAAAATTACATCAAAGTTACAACTAAACTACAGAACAACCATCATTCAAAACCGCCTGAAATCAAGCTGAATGGAAGTCCTACAACTACGGAATTAAAGCAGCAGCCACATCCAGACTGGTAGGAAGGGCGGAGGGGCGGAGGCGAGAGGGGTGGCGGCGGCGGGACAGGCTGGTCCCACACCCAAGTGTGGCGGATAAAAATCAGGAGCATACCTCGGCTGGGAAGGTCCTTCCTGAGGACTGAGGGGTCCCCGTCCCACACCAGGTGCCCCACTCAGGGTTCCAGTGCCAGGAAGAGAATCCCCATAACTTCTGGCTGGAAAAACCAGCAGGAACTGAGGCTCAGGGAAGCTGAAGCGGCTGGAGCCCCAGGCAGCTCCTTAAATTGCCCGCGCACGAAATTATCGGACTCTCTCCCTCTAAGCTTGGAGGGGAGGCAGCTCAAGGGGCACCAGAGACATACAGGGAAGAACTGAGCTGTTTGGCACTGGAGCGAGGGCTGGAGAGGGGGCTTTCTCCAGGACAAACGTACTGTCAGAGGCCTTTGTTCCTTTGGTGAGCCCTTCCCTGAGGTGGCAGACAGCGGCCATATCTGGGACTCCAGCAACCTGGCTCATGCTGGTAGCCTCGCCCTGGTGACTCCCTGAGGCCCCGCCCCACCCCACCCAACTTTTAGGCCCACCCAAGCTGTTGCCATTTGCTTAACCATAGGATTGGGCTGTCTTGGATCCTGCTTC